GTTCGCATGGCACCACCGCGCCAAGTTCGGCACACCCCTCACACGATTCGTGGCCCCATAGGGAGCTCCACCGAAGGCTCCAATGGGAGGGCTCGCATGGCACCACAGCGTCTAATCTGGCATCACACGTTTCGTGGCCGCATACAGGGTTCCACCGAAGGCTCCAGTGGGAGGGTTCGCATGGCACCACCGCGCCCAATTCGGCACACCCCTCACACGGCTCGTGGCCTCATAGGGAGTTCCACCGAAGGCTCCAGTGGGAGGGTCGCATGGCACCACCGCGCCCAATTCGGCACACCCTCTCACACGGTTCGTGGCCCCATAGGGAGCTCCACCGACGGCTCCAGTGGGAGGGCTTGCATGGCACCACCGCACCTAATGCGGCACACCCCTCACACGGCTCGTGGCCTCACAGGGAGCTTCACCGAAGGCTCCAGTGGGAGGGTTCGCATGGCACCACCGCGCCCAATGCGGCGCACCCCTCACACGGTTGGTGGCACCATTGGGATTTCTACCGAAAGCGGTACCCACAACGCAGTATTCGCAGTTGCATATGGTTGGGTCTTTCGTCAGGCTAATGTGTTTGTTCCTGACACTCTTGAATTGAGCTGTGCTCCCTTTTTCCCAACCGTCTTGACACGCTGTGTCGAGTGGTGTCCACGTTTTGAATTCGCAGCCCCCCGCGTCCTCCCCCCTCCCCCTCCCCTCCCCCCATCCCTGCCTCTGCCCTCCCCTCACACGTTCCGTGGCCCCATACGGGACCCCACCGAAAGCCCCAGCGGCAGGGGTCCGCATGCCGCCACTGCGTCGATTTCCCCCCAATTCCACACGTTTCGAGCCCCTTCATGGGGCACCCACCGCACGCCCCGGCGGCAGGGTCCGCATGGCGGCGCAGCTCCGCTCCGCCGAACGGCGCCGCACCGATCTCAGCACACCCCACACACGCTTCGTGGCCCCATCGGGCGTTCAATGTTCCAGCCATCTTGCGTTTACTTGCTTGCTTGCTTTGAATTCGCAGCCCCCCACGTCCTCCCCCTCCCCCTCCCTCCTTCCATCACTGCCTCTGCCCTCCCCTCACACGTTTCGTGGCCCCATCAGGAACCCCACCGAATGCCCCAGCGGCAGGGTCTGCATGGCGGCACCGCTCCGATTTTGGCACCCCTTACGCGTTTCCGTGGCCCCATCGGGAGCTCGCCCGAACGCCCCAACGACAGGGTCCGCATGGCGGCGCCGCGCCGATTTCGCCACACCCTTCACATGTTTCGTGGATGGAAGCCTACCAAACGCTCCAGCGGCAGGGTCCGCATGGCGGCGCAGCACCCAATTTCGGCGCACCCTTCACGCGTTTCGTGCCCCCATATGGGTATTCAACGAATTGCCCTGATGGCAGGGTCCGCATGGCGGTGCCGCGCCGATTTCGGCACACCCCTCACACGTTTCGCGGCCTCAGAGGGAGCTCAACCGAAGGTACCATCGGCAGGGTCTGCATGGTGGCGCAGCGCCGAGTTCGGCACACCCCTCATGCTTTTCGTGGGTAGTGACCCCCACTGGGATCCTCAGCGCCAGGGTCTGCATGGCGGCGCCACACCAATTTCGGCACACCCTTCACATGTTTCGTGGCTTCATGGGGAGCTTCACCAAAGGTCCCAGCGGCAGGGTCTGCATGGCTGCGAGGCACCCATGTCGGCGCACCACTCACACGTTTCGAGGCCCACCTGAGGAGCCCCTTCTTCGTCCCACCTGCTCTGCGGTACTCGCACACGCGCATGTTTGGGTCCTTCGCCAAGATGACTTTGGCGGGCCGCGCGCCTGACATTCAGGATCAGAGGTCGAACCTGTGCAGCGTTTGGAGGATGGCTGCCTCTCACGAGCGGGCCTTCGCTGGAGACCTCCCTGATCATCATCCTTCAGTTTGTGGGAGTTCGTTCAAGGGAGGAACAACCACCCGGACCCGATCTCTGGTGTTTGCGACACGGCCCCGGCCGTTTTTCTTAACGGCCCTGCCCTGTTCGATTCCTTCAGTGGGTGCGTTGACTAAACGGCTTCGCGTGTCGGGGTGATCATTACGGGATCCGGCTTGAATAAGGAACACTTATGTTTCAAACGGGGCTCGGTCGTTCCTTTTTGGTTTGCATGCGTTCCGCTACCTTTTTGGCGGCGAGCCCCCCTGGTGTTCCCTCAGATTTTGGACGCGCGGGTCCGTTCCTTCGGACTTCGTCGACGTATTTGGAAAAGAAGGGGCTTCGTTCCTTATTCATCGTTCCTCAGGTCAGGCCGAATCCTGTATGGGGTTGGACTTTCTACCCTCCATTCGTAGAGTTAAGTCGGGCCTGTCCCTCTACAGGGGGAGTATTCAAAGATAGTACAACAGAAGTCGGGAAACTATTTTCCTGTTTTTTTTTTGGTCATCTTTTGAGCACTTTTTGTATACAGAAAAAACGGTCCCAAATCCCCCTGAAGGGGGACAGGCCCGACTTAATCGTACAGCCGAAAACCCTAATAAAGACGCGCGACTTTGCTCAGGGTACCCTTGCGTCCTTGCTCTTCCTTGCTCTTGCGTCCTTGGGGTTTTCGTCGTCCGCCGTCCCCAAAAATTCCAACTTCGGCTTCCAAGGGTCTTGCGTCCTTACCGCGCGTCCTTATTAGGGTTTTTGACTGCATTTTCTATTATTTCCCAACCATCCTGTGGTTTTGGGTCCTCGTTTTGAAGAGACGTCGCCCCGCGTTCCTCCTCCTCCTCCTCCTCCTCCTCCTCCTCCTCCTCCTCCTCTCTCCTCCTCCTCTCTTCCTCTCATCCTCCCCTTCCTCCCCCTCCTCCCTGCGTTTCACCCACCCAGTACAGCGTTTCGTGGCCCCATAGGGAGCTCCACCGAAGGCCCCAGTGGCAGCGTTCGCATGGCGGCCTCGGGCAATTTCGGCACACCCCATTTCGGCACACCCCTCACGAGGATCGTGGCCCCATAGGGAGCTCCACCGAAGGCTCCAGTGGCAGGGTTCGCATGGCGGCCTCGGGCCATTTCGGCACACCCCTCACGAGGATCGTGGCCCCATAGGGAGCTCCACCGAAGGCGCCAGTGGCAGGGTTCGCATGGCGGCCTCGGGCCATTTCGGCACACCCCTCACGAGGATCGTGGCCCCATAGGGAGCTCCACCGAAGGCCCAGTGGCAGGGTTCGCATGGCGGCCTCGGGCCATTTCGGCAACCCCTCACGAGGATCGTGGCCCCATAACTGCGAATGGCCCCAGTGGCAGCGTTCGCATGGCGGCCTCGGGCGATTTCGGCACACCCCTCACGAGGATCGTGGCCCCATAGGGAGCTCCATCGAAGGCGCCAGTGGCAGGGTTCGCATGGCGGCCTCGGGCCATGTCAGCACACCCCTCACGAGGACTGTAGCAGGGTTCGCACGGCGGCCTCGGGCCATTTCGGCACACCCCTCACGAGGATCGTGGCCCAATAGGGAGCTTCACCGAAGGCGCCAGTGGCAGGGTTCGCACGGCGGCCTCGGGCCATGTCGGCACACCCCTCACGAGGATCGTGGCCCCATAGGGAGCTCCACCGAAGGCCCCAGGGACAGGGTTCGCATGGCGGCCTCGGGCCATTTCGGCACACCTCTCACGAGGATCGTGGCCCCACAGGGAGCTCCACCGAAGACCCCCAGTGGCAGCGTTCGCATGGCGGCCTCGGGGCATTTCGGCACACCTCTCACGAGGATCGTGGCCCTATGGCTCCGCCGAAGGCGCCAGTGGCAGGGCGGCCTCGGGCCATTTCGGCTCACGAGGATCGTGGCCCCATGGGGAGCTCCACCGACGGCGCCAGTGGCAGGGTTCGCACGGCGGGCTCTGGCCATTTCGGCACACCCCTCACGAGGATCGTGGCCCCATAGGGAGCTCCACCGCAGGCCCCAGTGGCAGCGTTCGCATGGCGGCCTGTGGCCATTTCGGCACACCCCTCACGAGGATCGTGGCCCCATAGGAGCTCCAGCGAAGGCGCCAGTGGCAGGGTTCGCATGGCGGCCTCGGGGCATTTCGGCACACCCCTCACGAGGATCGTGGCCCCATAGGAGCTCCAGCGAAGGCACCAGTGGCAAGGTTCGCATGGCGGCCCCGGGCCATTGCGGCACACCCCTCACGAGGATCGTGGCCCCATAGATGTGTTGCTTCAACAACCGCGCCTGGGCGTCGTACTCCGCCGTGTCGACGTGCAACGCCACCTCCTCCCTCGTGGCTCTCAAAGCCCTCTTCTGCTTTTGCTCCTCGGTCATAGGGACGCCGTCCGCTTCGTCGTCGGCGCCCGCGAAAACGGCCACGATCGTGTTCCTGAGCATGTCGGGTTCCGGCCGGAAGCTGTGGCCACATAGGGAGTGCGGGCAAAGATGGTATTCACAATTGCGGTATTCACAACTGCATATGGTTGGGTCCTTCGCCAGGCTAATTTTGGGCACCTTTTGAGCATTTGTTGGGGGTACTTTTAAGTCTTCGTCCAAAATCCCCCTGCAGGGGGACAGGCCCGACTTTATCGTGGGGCTCGAAACCTCGAGGGCGGCTCCTGTGCTCGAGCCCGTTCTGCGTCCGGACGGCAGGCCCGCGAGGCGCAGGGTCCTTCCGGGGGGGGGGGCGCTCCCCGCCGTGAGACCGAACTCGTCCTGGGGCCCCTCCTCCTCCTCCTCCCTACCCTCCTCCTACTCTTCCATCCTCCTCCTCCTCCTCTCCTCCTCTATCTCCTCTCCTCCTCCTCGTCCTCTCCTCCTCTCCTCCTCCTTCCCCTCCTCCTCCTCCTCCTCCTCCTCCTCCTCTCCTCCTCCTCCTCCTCCTCCTCCTCCATCCTCCTCCTCCCCACCCCTCTCATGCTGCTCCTATCCTTTCTCCTCCTCCTCCTTCCTCCTCCATCTCCTCCATTTCCTCCTCCTCCTCCTCCTCCTCCTCCTCGTAAGGTTCGTTGCAGCGTCGTTGATGCATTCTGGGTTTGCTTCGGCCCTCCTCGCTTCCCTGCAGCCCGCGCAGATGGGGCGGGGTGCGAGAACATGGCCAACGGCGCCGCGGAGGACCCCGCCGCTGGAGCAACAGACGATTCCCTGCATGCGTTCGGTCGCTCTGGTCATCGGTCAGTCAGTCAAGGCACGCATGAATCCATTGTCTCGCCCTCCCTGAAAAATTTGTCTCTCCGATTTGCCCTTGGGCCCGAACGGGACGTAGTGGGCCCTGGAAGCGGCAGGGCAGTCCTTTTACAGTTTTCAAAAAGCTGCCGTTTCGTGTTCCCTGAAACAGAACAACCGGTTCACCAAAACGGCCTGGTCAGTCTGGAGATCCGAAGGACGTCAGGAACCGGCTCGAACACGGTTCGGATCTCGCAAAAGAACGGTGATTTGGACCAGGCCCCCACCAGGGGAGGCGGAAAGTGTAAAACAATGGCGCCGAAACGTCAATAGATGACGGCGCCGTAAACGATCTTTCAAATAAATAACGAAACGGTAAAACATTGCCTTGTCGATCCCAGGGCCCATTAAGGAGCCAGCAGTTTTTCTGACCGCGTCTAGTTGTGGTGCCGAGGCCTTCTCGGGAGGCCCTCAGCATGCCAAAAGCCCTAACCGGGCGGAGTCTTCGCGCTTGGTCGTTTTTTGGCTCCTCTGCATCGGCTCAGTCGTTCTCCGAGGCGGCAATTGATACATGACCACAGCCTGGAGGATCGATTTTCGGGGACCTCGGCAGGCGGTGAATATGGACATGTTCGGGCCCCCGGGGGCCAACATATATCCATATCCACCGCCCGCTGTGGCACCAGGGCGCCGGCTCCCATGTGGTGGATATGGATAAATCCCCGCCTCGCATCAGTGGTTCGGACATGTTCGAGGTGTGTTGGGTGCGGGGGCGAAGCAGCCTTACAGCGTCGTCTGTGCGCATGGCCAAAAGTCGGAGGAAGACGAGGAGGAGGAGGAAGGGGAGGAGGAGTTGGAGGAGGAGGCGGAGGAGGCCGAGGAGGAGGCGGAGGAGGAAGAGGAGGAGGAGGAGGAGGAAGAGTAGAAGGTGGACGAGGAGGAGGAGGAGGAAGAGGAGGAGGAGGAGGAGGTGGAGGAGGAGGAGGACGACGAGGAGGAGGAGGATGAGGAGGAGGAGGAGGAGTGCGGAGGCGAAGCAGCCTTAAACGGCGTCTTCTCTGTGCGCATGGCCAAAGAAGTACGAATAAACATGGGACCGTCTCGCGCCCTCGCAGCGCGCAGCCGCCTTCGTCGTCTTCTCGTCGTCGTCGTCGTTCTCGTAGATTTCGTCGTTGTTTTTGGTTGTCCTCCTCCTCCTCCTAGATTTCGTCGTTGTTTTTGGTTGTCGTTTTCGTCGTTTTCGTCGTCGTCGTCGCCCTCATCTTCATCGCCAGGGGTCGAGCGGCCAACCGCCAACCCGCACCAGCGAGCCTTCGGCCGACTGGGATCAGCTCATCGTGGTGTTCGTGTTGTTCAGGACTCAATGAATGGGAACCAATGTGTGATTGTTTTTTAGTCATTGTTCTGCCGATCGGCGCGGGCCCTCGCACCCCGTCCCCCCCACATGGAGTAGATCTTGGATACTTCTGGTGCCTGTTTCGAGCAGGTGGAGTCTCCCCTAGAGGATGCACTGTTGCAAACAGTCGCATGAAGCAGAGGTCCAGAGCCAGGCCCCCCCTCCCCCCCCTCCGCCCAATATCGAAACGCCGAAAAAGAAAGCACTCGCTAGTATAATCAAGATTTTTTTTATCATTAAAAAGTAAAACAAACTATAATCAAGATCTGGTGTTTTCAGGCTCCTGGCGTCTTCGACTGCATCTCGAAGGTGTCCTCGTGGCCCCGGGACAGGCCAAAGGGCAGCAGATGTGCAGAGGTGCGTCGAGGAGCAGGAGGCCGCCGAGGGAAAGCGTGCATCCCTAGGTGTTCCCAGCAGCGGTGCGCGGCCGGGACAGGGGTGAGAGCACGCCCACGTGCAGCGTCTTGCATGGTTCACACAGGGATCGTGGCCGTCCAGACGGAACAATGTAGCCGGCACTGGTGCGAGAGCATGAAGAGCGCCTCCCTGAGGTCCGACGCTCCAAAAAAAAATGAGGCAGGCGGTTTTTGGGGCAGTTTTCGGCCTCCAGGGGCCCTCGCCGGGCCTCGGGAGCGCCAAGAAACGACTCAGGACGATTACTCACTGCGTGGAGCTCCCCATATGTGCATCTCATGTTTTATGTCATGCCGTGGTGAGCGTCTGTTCATGAGCGGTCGACTACAATAGCGCGTCCACGTGGGCGACAGGGCCGACGAAGACGAGTGACCCCTAATGCGAGTGATTGTGTATGAGTCAGAGTGAGCTTTCAGTATGGCGAAGATGTTGAGCCCAGAAACAGGCGAACCGCCTGAGACATCCCCACAAAATGGCCGCGAACGAGCCCGTGCAAACAGCATGAAAACGAGCAAACCGCCTGAGACATCCCCACAAACTGACCGCGAACGAGCCCGTGCAACCACCCCTGGCGGCTCCCCTTAGGGGTGCTGAAACCAGCGCCCCGCCTGAGACATCCTCACAATCTGCTCTCCAAGCGAAGGATGTTGAGCCCAGAAACAGGCGAACCGCCTGAGACATCCCCACAAAATGGCCGCGAACGAGCCCGTGCAAACACCCCTGGCGGCCCCCCTTAGGGGTGCTGAAACCAGCGCCCCGCCTGAGACATCCTCACAATCTGCTCTCCAAGCGAAGGATGTTGAGCCCAGAAACAAGCAAACCGCCTGAGACATCCCCACAAAATGGCCGCGAACGAGCCCGTGCAAACACCCCTGGCGGCTCCCCTTAGGGGTGCTGAAACCAGCGCCCCGCTTGAGACATCCTCCAAATCTGATGTGTGTTGAGTAAGTCTGAGTATGAGTAGGTCTGAGTATGAGTATGCCTGAGTATGAGTAAGTCTGTGTATGAATAAGTCTGTGTATGAGTAAGTCTGGGTATGAGTAGGTCTGTGTATGAGAAAGTCTGTGTATGTGTACGTCTGGGTATGAGTAAGTCTGAGTATGAGTAATACTGTGTATGCGTAAGTCTGGGTATGAGTAAGTCTGTGTATGAGTACGTCTGGGTGTGAGTAAGTCTGTGTATGAGTAAGTCTGTGTATGAGTATGTCTGAGTGTGAGTAAATCTGAGTATGAGTAGGTCTGAGTATGAGTAAGTCTGAGTATGAGTAAGTCTGAGTATGAGTAGGTCGGAGTATGAGGAAAGAGGAGGAGGAGAGGAGGAAAGAGGAGGAGGGAGAGGCAGTAGGAGGCGTCCAAGTAATAACAAGAACCCCATCTTAGGATATGGGGAACAAACCGGCCCCGGGGAAGTGGTCCAGACCTCCAGGGTCCACGCCCCCCCAATAATTGGAGCAGCCGGATGTCTGGGTGGGGGCCCCCCGAGAGAACGTCTGGGTCGCGCCTGCGGGCTGTCCCGTCTGTTGCGCCTCGCCGTGCGTTTGCGATGCCCGTTGCGGTCGCCCCGAGCGCCGCAGTGTCCGCCCACCAATCGAGCGGCGAGGCGAAAGGACAGGGGAGGGGAGGGAGGGAGGGAGGCGGGAAAGAGCAGCGGTAGTAGGTTAAGACCAGGATTCTGTATTTGGGGGCGGCTACATGGGCTCAGAGTCGAGTCTGTCGGGGCAGCCCGCGTCTGCGGTCATGGTTATATGACCTGCGGTTTTGAGGAAACGTCGGATCGTATGCTCACCCCCGCGTGCAAGCAGGTCCCTGGGAGCTGTGAGCTCCGGCAGACTTCGGGCCTCTAGGGGGTTGGACCCTGGCGTCGCGGCGGCCCTCCAGGCTTTGGACAGTCTTTCGCGTCGACAAGGAGCGTGGGATTGGGATGGGGGGACTGGGGAGAGCACGCTCTCTGACACGCCAGGGTTATGCCGCATCCGCCGTCCCCTTGGTTTTATTCCCAACCATCCTGTGGTGTTGGGTTCTCGTTTTGAATAGACAGCGCCCCGCGTCTCCTCCTTCCTTCCTTCCTCCTCCCCCTCCTCCCTTCTCCGTCCTCCCTCCTCCCTCCTCCCCCTCCCCCTCCTTGCCTTTGCTCTCGGCACACCTCTCACACGTTTCGTAGCCCCATACGGGGCTCCACCGAAGGTCCAAGTGGCACAGCCCGCATGCGGTTCCCTCACCCAGGGCAGCGTTTCCCCACCGAAGGCCCCAGTGTGGGGGGGTGCTCTCGCATGCGGTTCCGCCGCCCAGGACAGCGCTTCGTGGCCCCATGGGGAGCCCCACCGAAGGCCCCAGTGGCTGCTCTCGCATGCGGTTCCGCCACCCAGGGCAGCGTTTCGTGGCCCCATAGGGAGCCCCACCGAAGGCCCCAGTGGCTGCTCTCGCATGCGGTTCCGCCACCCAGGGCAGCGTTTCGTGGCCCCATAGGGAGCCCCACCGAAGGTTCCCAAATGGCTGCTCTCGCATGCGGTTCCCCCACCCAGGACAGCGTTTCGTGGCCCCAAATGGGGAGCTCCACCGAAGGCCCCGATGGCTGCTCTCGCATGCGGTTCCCCCACCCAGGGTTTCGTCGAACATCCCCCCTGTACAGTCGGGGCCCTGAAGAAGGAACCCTTTTCGTTGGGGAGGGGCTCCGCGTTCCTTCAGTGTTTCGCAGCTTGTCTCAGGTTTTCCTTATGTTTTCGATCGGAAATCGAAGCTTAGCTTATGGAAAAAAGTGGCCTCGTTCCTTACTTTGGGTTCCTTAGGTCGACGCCCCCCCTGTAGGGGGACACGCCCGGCATGCCGCGACAGTGGATCCGCGGTATCCCGGGCGGGCTGGGCCCTTCCGGCGACGCACGGCCGACTGGGGGTCCGTGCGCCCCCCCCCCCCTGATCAGGAGGGGAAGAAGCACACAGACACAATTAAGCGTCGACCCCCTATGAAAATATGGGAAACTATGGGAAGTGGGGGGGAAGACAAAAACACTGAAAATATGGGAAAATATGGGGAATCCTTCCATTTGTGTGCATTTATTCGTGTGTCCCAGGGCCCCTTCACCTGAGCCTGCCTCTCCCCGCCGCTGTCCCCCGAGAGCATCGAGGCCGCCTCCCTCGAGGCTGGCTTG